TAATTCGTACAAATTCGTACAAATTTTTTGCTCGACGAACAAACCTACCATCAGCAAAAGAAACTTCAAAAATCAACGGTATTTTGTAGACACTTCAAACTAGAATATTGTGCAACTTTTTTTAATTTTTCTAATTTTTATATTTACATGGCTTGTGTTAGACATATGATTTTGTAAGTTATAAATCAAAATAAATTGCAAGCTGCAGTTGCAGTTGACCGTGTTTGTCGCAAAAGTAAGAAGTGGAAGTAAAATCGATAGTTAGTAATATAATCTACTGAAAAATATTAACCAATTTTCCATGGAATTGAGATTCGGAAAAGGTATCAGGTATTATTCATATTTTTGAAATATATGTACATATGTCACGAAAGCAAATAATAACAAATAATTTTTAAACAAAAAACAACCAACCAAATGGCCAATATTGAGATATGCAACGCTGTGTTTGTACTAAACAACCAAGATTTAAATAAAGTTGATCTGAAAACCAACGAAAGTTAAATGGCATATAAATCACAATCCAAAATTAGACTTCAAATAATAATATTCGTTTGAACTATGCCAGATGCGGTAACCAATCCGAGTGTACCCTTGAGTCACGGCAGAATGAGGTAGAGCTTCGGTCGGGCTACTCCGACTTGTTCGGATTAAGGGCTCAATGAAGTCTGCAGCGTCTGTTCACCAGTAGGTTCGGCTGAAAGCGGCTGTCTGTGTTGAAGCAAGCGGCTCGCTATATAAACGTGTATTCGGTTTCGAAACCATCACCGCCCCAGCAATGGGTAGTGCGCTGGGTTTAGGACCCGCAACGTAAAAACGGGCTCCAATGAAAAATAGACACAAAGCCTCGGATGAGAACCCCCTTTCGATGACGACCACAGAAAACGTTTAAAGGACTACGATTTGAGGACATGCACCTGGAATGTCCGGACCCTTAATGGGGAAGGTGCCTCTGCCCGGCTGGTTGATGTCCTCGTAAGGAAAAAAGCTGACATCACCACCATTCAAGAAATGCGTTGGACGGGGTAAGGCAAAGAATTTCTGGGGCCTTGTGACGTCTACAACAGTTGTCACGTAAAGGATTTGTGGGGTGAGAGAAACTTCGTCGGCGAGTATTGTCGTTCACCCCGGTGGACGAACGTCTAGCCACAATCCGCATCAAAGCGAGATTCTTCAACATCTCGCTAAACTGCGCCCATGCCCCGACGGAAGAGAAGGACGAGGAGTCCAAGGATCTTTGCTATGAGCACTTGGAGCTCACATACGAGCGCTGCCTCCGCCTTGATACCAAAATCGTGCTTGTCGACTTCAATGCCAGGGTGG